AGCAGGAGAGAGACAGAAAGATAGAGAATGTGAGAAACAGGCCACCAGGTTCGGGACTCGACCACGGTCAGCTATGTGAGTCCAGCGCCTTAACCACCATGCCACCTGCAAGCCCAGGCATTTTACATTCCAATCAGTCCCCATGCACTTGCCGACCAGAGACCACGCGGGCACGCACAGGGAGGGGATGAACACTAAGCGGGTGTCGTGGCTGCAGGGTGGGAGGATGCGCGTGCAGAGGGGTGTGCCTCTGTCCTCAGACAGCAGACCGGCCCTGCCCTGCACTCCTGCACCGAGAAGTGCCAGAGCGGAGCAAGAGGCCTGAGGACAGCACCAGGCAGCTTCGAGGAAGAGGTGGGGCAGCCATTTCCAGCTGGAACCAGGGTGGGTGAGAGAGGCTGGCCTGGGCCCTGGTGGACAGGGGTAACGGGCTGTTCGTGTTTTAGGTGACGCTTGACACTTACAGTTAATCAGAACAAAGTGGGACTCTGACCAGCACGGTGGACCACTCTGGTCCTCAGAATGGTGGTGGTGACCAGGCACGTGCCTTTCTGGTTGTGCCAGCAAAGGACAGGCCCTTCCAGGGGGACAGTCTGCCCCCAGGAAGCCCCCACTTTAGGCCCCGCCCCCTCAGCATGGCCTTCTCCCTACCTTTGGGCTCCAGGCCGTTGGAATTGAAGTGCATCCTCTTCTGGCACTCGGTGCAGCTCATGAGGAACCGGGTCACCGCCTCTCTCGGGAGGAAGGCATAGGTCTCGGCGATCTGGGAGAGAGAGGAGGTTTGCCTGTTAAATGGGGCCATGGGAGGTGATGGCCACTGGGTCGCCAAGGTCTATGCTTTGGTGGTGGGTGGTGACAGTAGGTACTCTGGCCCCCACCAAAGGGCAGTGATCTGAGGAAGGAAGGGCAGGCATCCTTGATTCTTTTTTTTTTTTAGAGAGGTTTTTTGCTATAGGGCATGTGCGCTCACCAGACAGACAGAGACAGACATAGAGGCAGAAAGCAAGAAATCACCCCCCAGGGGGGATGGTCACGCCGCAATCCCTTCTCCTCCATTCTCCTCTCGGGATCTT